CTCCTTTTAGACCATGCTTACACTAGCAAGATAATGACTTAGTGTCAGCTAGAAGGAAAAGATGCTTAAATATTCCCTCATTCAGGGCAGAGGAATTTTAAGTTAGTGCCATCATTTATTTATATTATTACATAGTGCTTGGATAGCACAAAGTAACTCTGAAAGTATTAGATAGAGATGAAAGTTTATCTAGTGAAGATTAGAATATTATCTTTTTATTGGGCAGCCCTTTCCCTTTTATCTAAGCTTATAGATATGTATGCTTGGGAGTGATAATTTTTTTTCTTAAAAAACAGTCATAGAGATCTCCTCACAGATTTCCTTAGAATATGTCCTTGTTTATTTTTCCTTGAAGAAGGCCATCTAGAGTTTCTTTTGTGACCTAAAGACCAGCATGAACCTGGAAATGCTATAGGAAGTACAAAATCATGGTGCCCTCAAACCAGAAATCTGAGTTAACTTCTGGTAGTGGAGTATAAGTGAGACATAATCAGAGTCCAAAATACATAGAAGGACCCCTGAAATAGTTGAAAAATTCAAGAATTTCTATATGAAGGTGATTTGGATTACTAGGACTTTCTTGAATATGGGATGGAAAGGCCTGAGAGGGAGATGATCCAAATGCATAAAGCTGTGAAAGATACTATATTGTGAACATAGACCTTTTTGTGAGTTCAAAAACATGTACTCTTTGACCCATCAAGAATTTTTTTGGGAATTGATCACAATGATGTATTTGTACACATCAGAAATGACTCATGTATATTACCGCATCATTTGTGAAAGGGTAAATAGGGTAGACTGGTTAAATAAATTAAGGTGTGGCTACACAATAGAATATTATGTAGCTATTAAAGAGAGTAAAGCACACTTCTCCCTCCCGTCCTGACAGAGTAATTGGTAGCCAAACTTTCCCTCCAGCCTAAAAACAACTGTAAAATGAGACAACATATATGAGGCAAGTGAATTCAGTCATCAAGCAACAGAGAGTGCAGAACTGTAACAGTCCCTGCGAGGCAGAAGGGAAACACACACGGTGAGCCCGCAGCCGCCTTGGCTTCCTTCTCAGAGGCACTCTTCCTGCAGAACAGCCAAGAGGTAGAGCCCAAGCAGCAACATGCCACCTGGACCAAGCAATCAAAGTAAATCTCACCGATACCGGGACAAACAGACACAAACACCCTGCTATGATGAGGGCACAATACAACCTGTGGATTCCTATCAAAAATACGTATCCTGAATCTAATCATGAGGGAATGTCAAGAAAAAAACTGATGAACATCTCACAAAAATAACAGGTCTGTAGTCTTTAAGGGTATCTGGTCAATAAAGAGAAAAAAGGGCTTAGGAAATCTTTCTTTAAGGTTTTGGGGCACCTGGGTGGCTCAGTTGGTTAAGCGTCCGACTTTGGCTCAGGTTGTGATCTCATGGTTTGTGAGTTCAAGCTCCGCATCGGGCTCTGTGCTGACAGCTCAGAGCCTGGAGCCTGCTTTGGATTCTATGTCTCATTCTCTCTCTGCCTGTCCCTCACTTGTGCTCTCTCTCTCTCAAAAATAAATAAATGTAAATAAGATAAGATAAAATAAAATAAGGTGTTATTAAAAATAGGAAAAGAATGGGTCACCTGGGTGGCTCAGTCAGTTAAGTGTCTGACTTTGGCTTAGGTTATGATCTCATGGTTCCTGAGTTCGAGCCCTGGGTCAGGCTTTGTGCTGACAGCTCGGAGCCTAGAGCCTGCTTCAGATTCTGTCTCCATCTCTCTCTGTCTCTGTGCTCTATGTGTCTGTCTGTGTCTGTCTCTCTCTCTCTCAAATATAAATAAACATGAAAAAATAGGAAAAGAATAAGACAGCTCTATGTACTAATACATCACGATCTCCAACATATTATACTAAGTGGGCTGGCAAAGGAAGATAGAGAAGCAAAATGCAGAATGACAAATAACATGCTACCGTTTGTATAAAAAATACATGTAAATAGGCACATATTTGTTTAAGCACATAAGAGGGTACTCAAGAAATGGTTAACATTGGTTTGCCTCTAGGAAGGGGAGCTAGGTGGCCAAGGTCCAGAAGGAGATTTTGGTAAATACCAATAACATGTGCATTTATTACCAGTTGAAAAGATAAAATAATTTAACAGCAAGCTCACAAACTGGAGGCACTACCGTTTCTTTCTAAGGATTTAGTATTCCTGATGGAGCAAACCTCTGAGTAACTGCAGGTTTGGATAAAACAAGGAGTGAGAGATCTTAGGGTGGCTCAAGTTATTGCTAGTTAAGGTGACACAGTAACTATTGGCCTTTTGGACGTGATGGAAAGCAAACATGTTCTCCTTGGTGCGTTCTTGGTACCTCCAGAGACATAGCACTGGCCTGGGTGCACATGGACTTTGTTTTGTCTTTTGTCCTAATCAAGATTTCCTGAAACCATGAATTATTGTTAGGGGATAAAAATTTACTAATTTCAAGGGTAGATTTACTAATTAACCTTTTCTCTTAACTTCTTCCCTTTGACATTTCATCTCAAAATAGAGCAGTTGGATGACGAATCATATAAGCTTTGGCATTTGAAATTAGGTGGTGGTGTTTATTTAGGGTGTGGTTCAGTGGAAATGAAGGAAAGTAAATTCCACGTTGACACTTTACAACATTGATATCCGTAGTCCAGTACCTTTCATTATCACAGTATTAGAGTTTAGTGGGATAAGGTTAAGGAAGTAACGATGAAAAATGTGGAAGAAATATAGAGTGTACCCTGAGCCACACAGTGGTACTTGGGACATCTTGGCTTCTGGTATTTCGTAATTAATAGGCCTCTGAAGTGCCCCTTTGCCCAAAGGTGAGGCTGTCCCTGTCCTATGAACCACCTTTTCCTTCTGCTGTCTCACTTCTCTTCACCGGGCCTCACACCAGGATGGCAAGCAAGTGCTGCTTTAATGTGGGCATGCAGCCATCGACTCTATATTTGTAATTTTGAGCATCCACTCTGGTTAAGATGCTCTTTTCCTTTTCCAACAAAATATGTGAAGTCTCAAGTCCTGTGTCACCTTCTCAGTTAAGCTTCATATTCTTATCCCTCTGACCTCCCTCACCCCATTAATAGTTGAGTCACCGTGATCCTGTAATACCATTTTTTCCTGCTTCTTATCATGTTGAGTGTTAGGGACCCTGTAAACCCTCAATGAATTAATGAATCAGTTGTATACATTAACTCTTTCCACAGCCTCCCTCCCATCTCTCATCAACCAACACCAACCAGCTCTGATCTCACCACTTCACGGACGAAGTTCTTATTGCCAAATCAACAACTGGTCTTTGGGCCCAGGGCCAGTTTTATGGGCATATGCCCTGTGTAGTCACTTAGGACTGGTTTAATGCCCTGCTATCACTGTCCTGAAATTCTTAGCAGTTTTTCTACGAGGACCCCCACATTGACATTTGATGCTGGGCCCCGCAAATTATGTAGCTGGTCCTTTTCAGGCCTGATGTTACTCTAATTTCTTGAAAGCATTTGATACGGCTTGTCACCCTCTCTGAATACTTCTTGAGTTCCTGGACAGCAACATCTGCTTGTCCCCTTCTGTTTCATTTACGGCTCCTTTAGGTACCTTCACCCTCTTCTTCATCTAGATTCACTCCCCAAGTGATCCTACGCAGTGTCCAGTCCTTCTCTACACAGCGGCTGCTGCTGACAGTGGCACAAAGAAAACCGATAATAATAATGGGTACCTTTGAGTGTCTTCTGTGTGACAGGCATCGATTACAAGTATCATTTCATGTAATACTTAAAACACCTTGTTTGTAGATTCAGTGTCGCAGGCATAGAAAGGCTGAGTAACTTGCCCAAGGGTATATAGCTTGTAGGCGATAGCTTGGATTGGACTCAGGGAGTCTAATTCTATAGTTTGCTCCTTTAACCACCACAGTGAACACTTAAAATCTCTCCCTGAGCTCTCGGTGGGTATATCCACCCCCATACTTGACATTTCCACCTGTATGTCTAATGGGCATCTTCAGCTTACTGCATCCCGAAAAGAACTCTTGATTCCCACCCCACGCTGCCTCACTGTCAACCTCCATCTCTTCTGGTTTTTCTTTTAAACACATTATTTTTTAAAAGTTTATTTACTTATTTTGAGAGGCAGAGACAGTGCAAGCAGGGAGGGGCAGAGAGAGGGAGAAAGAGAAAGAGAGAGAGAGAGAGAGAGAGAGAGAGAGAGAGAGAGAGAGAGAATCCCAAGGAGGCTCCTCACTGTCGGCGCAGTGCCCGTCATGGTGCTCGAACCCATGAACCGTGAGATTGTGACCTGAGCCAAAATCAAGAGTCAGACACTTAACTGCCTGAGCCACCCTAGTGCCCCTCTTCTGGTTTTTCTAATATTATTAAATGGCCCTGAGATTCATCTGGGTGCCCTGTCCCAAAGCCTGGCCTGGTTGCTTCTGCTTTCTTCCTTCCTTGTATTGAATCCAGTAGCCGCCTGCACAGGCTCTACCTTTAAACATACCAAATATTGACCACTTCTCCCACTTCCGTGGCCTCCAGCTTAGTCCAAACCACCACCTTCTCCTGACTGGATTATTGCAGTAGCCTCCTAATTGATTTTCTTCTTCAATTCTGCCCCCCTACACCCTGTATATTCTGCACAGAGTGAGCAGGGTGATATTTTTAAACATTTTTTCTAAATGTTTTATCGAAGTATAAGATATGTACCCAAATTGGACAAGTTGATGAATTTTCACAATGTGACATGCCCATTTAACAAACACTCAGAGCAAGAACCATTACTAGTGCCCCCAGGAGTACCCCCTTGTGCTCCCTTGTAGCTACTATTCTCCCTCTACTATTCTTTCTCTATTATTCATCAGTCTTTTAACTACGTTATTGTCTCAGGCGGTCATGCGTGGGGTCCCGTCTGCCCCGAGTGTGTTCTCCCTGCACATGTCAGTTTGAATCACCCCTCACTGCACTCAGGTCTCTGCTCAAATACCTTTTCCTCAGGAAGGATCACGAACCGCTCCGTACAACACTAAGGGTGAAGAATATATAAAAGTCCTGTGAACATCTATGATACTATCAGTGAACCGTTTCGCAATGAGCGATGTCAGCGCCCGCCAGGCCGCCTCTCTGTTCTGCTCAGGTTCGTCGGGTTCATCAGATATCACTGTGTTGGAAAGTAGGACTGAGTGTCATCTTTATCTTTGTGACAGGTAGCAGCTCTTCCAAGCCAGTGTAACTGTTCTCAGCTTTTTAATTTGAAGAAGTTCTTTTGAAGACTTCCATTTTAAGAATTGTGAAAATTTTGCTATGAAAAGCCTTCACTGCTATGTTCTTAAATGAATGTTAATTTCTGAGGTTTCAGATTTTGTGGGTTTTCCCCACATACCCCCCCTTTTTTTTTTTTACTTTCCTTTTATTTTATTTGCTGTACATGCTGCACATCCAGATTGCATATCTAAAAGACACTGGTTATTTTTACGCTTTCTTAATTACAACTGTTATCAGTGCCAGGCTCTCACCGCACCATTTGTTCTCCTGCAAATCAACTACTTCTCATTTCCAGTTAAACAAGTAATTTTCAATTTTGTCTGTTGTCTTTTCAGCCTTTACAGTCATTCGGAATAAAAATTCAATTTCAGTGAAAAAAAATGGGTTAAAGACCTAAATGTGAGATCTGAAACCATAAAACTTTTAAAAGAAAACATAGGCAGTAATTTCTTTGGCATCAGCCATAGGAACATTTTTCTAGGTATGTATCTTCAAGTAAAACAAAAGCAAAAGCAAAATAAACTATTGGGACTATACTAAAAAAAAAAAAAAAAAACCTCTTGCACAGTGAAAGAAACCACCAACAAAACAAAAAGAGACAACCTAGTGAATGGGAGAAGATATTTGCAAATGATGAATCCAATAAGGGATTAATATCCAAAATATATAAAGAACTTATAACTCAACACCCAAAAAATAAATCATCTGATTAAAAGATGGGCAGAGGACCTGAATGGACATACTTCTAAAGAAGACATATGCATGGCCAAGAGAAATATATACAGATGCTCAACACCACTAATTGTGAGGGAAATACAAATCACAACCACAACAAGATATCACTTTATACCTGTCAGAATGGCTAGAATCAAAGAGACAAGAAATAAGTGTTGGCAAGGATGTGAAGAAAGAGGAACCCTCCATATACACTTGGTGGGATCGTAAATTGGTACAGCTACTCTGAAAAACAGAATGGAGATTCCTCAAAATATTGAAAATAGAATTTTATGATCCAGTAATTCCATTACTAAGTATTTACCCAAAGAAAATAAAAACACTAATTTAAAATGATATATGCACCCCTATGTTTACTATAGCATTTTTTACAGTAGCCAAAATATGGAAGCAACCCAAGTGTCCATCAGTAGATGAGTAGATAAAGAAAATGTGGTACACACACACACACACACACACAGGAATATTACTCAGCCATAACAAGGAATGAATTGTGGCAACATAGGTGGACCTCAGAGATATTATGCTAAGTGAAATAAGTCAGAGAAAGACAAATACTATATGATTTCATTTTCAGGTGGAATCTAAAAGACAAAACAAATGAACGAACACAAACAAAAAAAGCAGAAACAAACGATAAGTACAAAGAAAATGTTTGCTTGCCAGTGGGGAGGCTGGGAGACTGGGCACAGTAGGTGAAGGGGAGTAGGAGGTATGGAAAATGGATGAATAATTTCTAAAAGTCCTCTGAACATATATATTTTCTGAATTTAATTTTTTTAAATTTACATCCAAATTAGCATATAGTGCAAGAATGATTTCAGGAGTAGATTCCTTAATGCCCCTTACCCATTTAGCCCATCCCCCCCTCACACAACTCCTCCAGTAACCTTCTGTTTGTTCTCTGTATTTAAGAGTCTCTTCTGTTTTGTCCCCCTCCCTGTTTTTATATTATTTTTGTTTCCCTTCCCTTATGTTCATCTGTTTTGTCTCTTAAAATCCTCATATGAGTGAAGTCATGTGATATTTGTCTTTCTCTGACTAATTTCGCTTAGCAGAATACCCTCTAGTTCCATCCATGTAGTTGCAAATGGCAAGATTTCATTCTTTTTGATTGCCAAGTAATACTCCATATTGTGTGTGTGTGTGTGTGTGTGTGTGTGTGTGTACACTACATCTTTATCCATTCATCCATCGATGGACATTTGGACTCTTTCCACACTTTGGCTATTGTTGATAGTGCTGCTATAAACATTGGGGTGCAAACATATATGATATTATTAGTGAACTGTCTCCCCTATGATGTTGTGATTCCTTGAGGTAAGGGATTCTGTCTTCTTTTTGTAGATCTTATTTGTAGCATAATACTTTAGAACTTAAATAGTGTAATGCTCATGATAATTCATTGTTTTCCCTATTTGGTCTCCCTTAGCTCCAGATAATTTAGACTCTGATACAAATATTTAATAATTTTATGAACTGTGGTGGAGCATCAACTTTTTGTATATTTTTTGAAAGGGGTAGTATACAGCATTATAGTTTGAAACTTTAAAACTCACTTTAACTTTTTAAAGTTAACTGGAAACAGTGCATACTTAAGTCCAATGAATTTTATCTATGACTAAAGAAGTGAGAAGGTTTTCAGTGACTTTATATTCTCTTTTAACACTAATGCTAATTCTATTTCAAGTTTATAAAGTCATATTTTTTTTTTCTAAGATTCTGCAGTCTAGACTTAGTGATTCTCATTGACCTGGTTCTTATTATTGGGGTAATTTGGGGGCTACATGCATGTATAAAATTTGGTTTGGGGGCAAGAATTAGATCTAGCTTTCATTGGTTTTTTTGTTCATTCTTTGTCCAAGGTATTTATTTCCACCATTGATTGCATTTGTCTTTATTTCCTTAAAGCCTTAAGCTAATGTCTGACATACACAATTCTTTTATTAATTGTAGAATGTCAGAGCAGAAAAAGATTGTCAAGACCACCTTTTCCAGCCATAAAAGACATCACTGGGTCAATTAGCAAAATTGGAAAATAGTTGGTAGGTTAAAGTATTGTCAGTAATAAATTTCCTGAAGTTGATACTGCTATGGGTATATAAGAGAACATCCTTATTCTTAGAAAACACAATGAAATATTTAGGAATAAAGTCACCATGATAATGTATTCACTTCCAAATGGTTCAGGGAAAGAAAAAAAACAACTGTGTGTGTGTGTGTGTGTGTGCGTGTGCACGCACGCACGCACTTATGTGAGCACGCAAGCTTGTTCATGTATACAGAGTGAGTACAAGTGAGTGTAAGAGTAAATTATAAACCAAGTGGGGCAAAATATTAACAACAAGTAGATCTGGCAAAGGGTAGGGTTGCTGGGTGGCTCAGTCAGATGAGCCTCCTACTCTTGATTTCAGCTCAGGTCATGATCCCAGGATTGTGGGATTGAGCCCTGCCCCAGGCTCCTGTTGAACAGGGAGACTGCTTAAGATTCTGTCTTTCTCCCTCTGTCCCTCCCCACTGCTTGCTCTCTCTCTCTCTCTCAAAAATAAAATTAAATTAAAAAAAAAAGATCTGGCAAAGGGTATATTAATGTTCTTTATACTATTCTTATGTTTCCTCTTAAGTGTGAAATTATCTTCACATAAACATTTTTTAAAAATCATCATTCTCAGCTCTCTCAGGAAAAGCATTCAGTCTTCATGACACAGATGTTAAGTAACTTTCCCAGTTATCCTGAGAGTTAGAGACAGAACTACTCCTAGTCCCGAGGGCCCGTGTTATGCTGCTATCTTCTAGTAAATAGTCATTGAGCTCCAGCCAGATGAAGGGACCAGTAATCCTGACTTGTGGCCACATAGAACACAGCCAAGCTTGCACATTAGTGATGTAGCTTTGAGTTCCTTCAAAAAATATTTTTTTCCATGACCTGGTCAGGCTTAAAAACCTCCAGCCCCTCTGTTACCTGGACATCGTGTTACTAGATATCCTGTCCATTGTAATGAGACGTGGCTACATTGACATTTTAACAATCAGTGGTTTGTTCTTCTCTTTCTTCATAGCTACTGCTTCTTGGGATACGTTCCTCATGCTATGGAATTGCAAGCCACAAGCTAGAGCTTTCAGATATGTGGGTCACAAGGATGTGGTAACCAGCGTGCAGTTTTCCCCACTTGGAAACTTACTGGCATCTGCTTCAAGAGACAGAACCATTAGACTCTGGATTCCTGATAAGTAAGAGAAACAAAGTAACCTGATATACTCTGGATTTAGGCATGTGAAAGAAAATAAGCCTGGCTGTTCCTTCTGCACTGATCTAGAATGCCTGAGCCCCCAGTTGCCTGCGCTGTTCTTAGTCTGAGTCACACGCGAGATGTACTGCCCTCGTCATAAAGTTAGCAGACTATTTCATACCATTTTTTCCTCATCTTTAACTCTGAATTATCTCTTCTATTTGAAACCTATTTCTAACCATGGAAATATGCTTCAGGTTTGTTTTTTTTTTTTTTTTTTTTTTTTGGCAAGGGGATGGTTATCAATCCCTTTTATAAATCTGATGTAACCTTCACGTTATCTCCCCAGAGAGATACACAATTACATATGTAACTGAAATTTTATAGTTTATTAATCTACTATTGCCAGTTTGTGGATCTTCTGTGGGCCTTTGGATCTCTCTTAATCCCTGTGCCAGAACTATTCTTTGATGCATATAATTCATTATTGGGCTCTGGAGTTTTCTTGCTGAAGAAAGTTTCTGACAGATGTTTAAATCTGATTTGACAAATCATTATGACAAATCTCTCTGTATGAGGCTTTTTAAATCCTAGCTGATAGCTTGTCTATTTTAAGCCATTATGGAGCCATGATATTTTAAAAAGCTTTTGAACTTTTTTTTGAACTCTTAATTATATGTTTTCAAACACACATGAACATAGAACAAATAGCACAACACTCCCTTCCCTCATACTCATCCACCAGATCCAACAGCTATCAGTTGTTTCACCCATCCTCCCTGCCCCCCTTTTTAGCTAGATTATTTTTAGAACAAATCCCACACATCATATCATATCCCCCAGTAAATATCTTAGAGAATAAGCATTTGAGCATTTTCCTTGGGTCTTTTGTGGCAGGATTTGATTTGTGGATTGTGACTGAACAGGCTCAGGCACTCCCAAATGAAAGTTCATGGGGCATCTTCATGGCAGTGGACACTTTTTTTTGTGTGTGTGCCATCACCAAAGAGAATCTCCATGCTGAGAAATCTGAACATTACCCTAATGGTAGCACAAACTACTGAAGAGAAGTGACATGTTGTAATGACACTGTGGTGGCAATGTAGAGGTGAACTAGGAGGGAGGGAGACTGGTTTGGGGTCCAAAAGGGAAGATGTTTTCTAAAATCCTTAACTTTGGGGATTTAGGGCTAGTGGTTTTGCTGTCTTCAGCACATCACAACTTCAGGCTCCCAGTACTAATTCTAGGAACTCTCAGTGAACAAACTGTACAAGGGTAGATGAGCTAAAAGCACACCGAGTCATTATTTGTACTGGCTGATCCCAGTACAACAGTTAGGCTTATGTAGATGTCTCTGTTTCCTCTTTCAAAATCAAATCATATGGGGCCAGGGCAATCGTGGATTATGGCAGTGGGATGGAAGCTGGTATATCAGTTATTGCGGTTTAACAATCTTCCAAACTTAGCTTAATACAATAACTGCCATTTCTCATAATTTTGTGGGTTGTCTGGGTGATTCTTGTGCCCCATTTGATGTTGGCTTTACTCATGCAGCTTATTAAGCACCTCACTCATGTACCTGGGGCCTGGTGCTGGTTATTGGCTGGGGCATCCTGTCTTCCAGTGGCCTCTCTCCAGCAGGATAAGGACTTCTGACCATGTGCCAGCCGGGTTCTAGGACAGTAAAAATGGAAGCTGCTAGGCCCTTTGAAGGTCTAGGTCTGAAACTTCCACGGGGTCACTTCTGCCTCATGTTATTGGCCAAAGTAAGCCACAGCCAGCCCAGATTCAGAAGGAGGAGAAAGCGGTAGAATCTACCTCCTGGGAGGTGGGGGCAGGCAGTGTGTGTACAGGGATGAGAGGGATGCTGGCAGCTGTATGTGCAGACATTATGGCTGGTGACTGGCAGGCTGAGGAGGAATAGTAGGAGCAAGCGTGGAAGCAGTTCCGGCCTGGAGTTCGTCACAGTGGGCAGTCCAGAGAACTTGGGCTGAAAGCGAAGGCAAGTTTGTGGGAGGCAGAGAGCCAATGTCAAGGCAAGGTGGGGAACTGCTAACCAGTTAAACAGCTGCACAACAAACACAAGGCACTCCTGTCGTGGGTTTTTATACCTGGTTGAGACCGGATCCAGGGGTTGGACTAGGCTGTAGCCGAGAAGAAAACCCCTGAGAAAGAAGGCAAGCAGGATAGGTTGCTGGAGTGTGGACTGTCTCCTGGCTTCCCAGTCACAGCAGATGCCAGTCTTGTCTTTGTTTTCTCTAGGCCAAACTCTCCTCCTAACTGCTACTCCTAGAACTTCCCCTTGAAACCTCACTGAACCAGGCTCTGAATGCTCCATCCCATTTCTTTAAATATCAATTTTTGTTTTTCCTGGAGTAATATATATCAGGTGATGGAGATTTATTACCAGGTCACTTTTGCCTTCTACAGACCACTGGAGGGATAAGCCAGGATGGATCTAGGAACCTTTAAGTAGTGACTCTCACCAGTGGAATTCAACAAAATGTATCTAGCTTTTTTCATATGCCTGATATTGTGCTAGGGGCTGATCTTTAAAAAAATAAAAAATAAAAAAAAATTTTTTAAATGTTTATTTATTTTTGAGAGAGACAGAGACAGAATGCAAGTGGGTTAAGGGCAGAGAGAGAGGGAGACACAGAATCCGAAGCAGGCTCCAGGCTCTGAGCTGTCAGCACAGAGCCTGACGCAGGGCTCGAACACATGAGCTGTGAGATTGTGACCTGAGCTGAAGTCAGATGCTCAACTGACTGAGCTACCCAGGCACCCCTAAAAAAATTTTTTTTAATGTTTATTTATTTTTGAGAGAGAGAGAGAGAGAGAGAGAAACAGAGAGAGAGGGAGACACAGAATCTGAAGCAGGCTCTAGGCTCTGAACTGTCAGCACAGAGCCCCGTGAGGGGCTCGAACCCACCAGTGGTGAGATCATGACCTGCGCTGAAGTCGGCCACCCAACCGACTGAGCCACCCAGGTTAATTAATTAATTTTTTTTTTAAATTAATTAATTTTTTTAATGTTTGGTGCTGGTCTTATAGGGATAAATAAATCATCATTCCTGTCCTCAAAAAAACTCACAGCTTAATAGAAGGGAAAGAGGTCTATTTTTTTTTTAAGTACTGTATAATGTAATAAGCAAAATAGACGTAGCAGATAAGGAGCAATTAAGCCTGCCTGGGTTGCTCAAGGAGGCTAGGGTGGGGGAACTAATCCAGGGTGAGAAAAAGTAGGAAGTGCAAAGCCAGAGGTGTGTTTGAAGCTCGGGGACTGTTCTGAGTCCAAAGTTCAGTGTAACAGCCAGATGCCTTATGGAAGAACTTGGTCACTGTACCTTTTCTTGGAAGGTAGCCCGTGACACATTTACACTGAGATTTACATGCTTAGAATATGCTTTTAGCGAGGGAATAAGAACAGTATGTAGGTGACTGGAGGGGATAAACGATTAGAGCAGGGAGACCAGTTAAGAGGCTTTCGCAAAAATCTAGGTAAAGGATACATAGGGTGTATCTATCTGAATGTAAGCAGAGCTGATGTGGAAGAGGAAGAATTGAAAGGATATCTGGCAAGTGATAGCAGTATTTCTATCACTAAATCGGTTTTGTTGACCTATTGGATGTGGGAGGAGAAGGGGGAGTGGTTGAGTATGATTTCCAGGCTCTGCAAATTCTGTTGCCTGATGTGTTTCAAACAGTTATGTATAAATACAACTTTCTGAATGGAAAAAAAAATTGCTAAGTCTGGATGTAGTATAAAGTGAAGTATCCGGGGGAACTTTGGAGTCCTGACGCAAGTAGTATTTCCCAGATGCCACCTTTGAACTCCAGGGTGTCTGCTAGCCTGCCCCTGACTATTTTAACTTTTTTTTTTTTTTCTGGTGTTTCTCCTTAAATGCCACACATTATTTTCTCCATCTTTTCTTTCCTATTCTCCTTTTCCCATCCTAGCCAAGAAAAAAAAAAAAAAAAAAGCAGCAGCTGAAATTTCAAAGTATTGAGAATTGGAATACAGTTGTTACCATTTGTCCTTTGTTTTGCTTGTGGGTGTAAGATTGGGCCCTGGGTGAGCAAGGCCTTGGATATGCCCCAGGGGTCTGAGTTCTCATTGCTGGTAGGTGGAAACTCCGGTGAGTCAGAGAGTGAGATTACCTAGAGACATTCTGTAAAGGGGGAAATGGCAGAAGGGATGTCTCTTCCTTCCCAGCCCAGACTGCCAGTCCACACAACTTCCACGTGACCCCAGTTTGAAAACACTTCCTTGGAGCCGTTCACTGAATTGATCTTAGCTTTTCTAGGTTGCAGGTTCCTTAAACTGTTTATTGCTATTTCTAGAGGAACAACAGGAACTTAAAATTCATGGTAGAGATTTGTCCAAAATATTGTTTCTGTAGCTTCTAATTAAAACAAAAACACCAAGTGCATTTCTGGGTGGGACCATGAGGGTCTTTTCTTGTTAAGTATCAGTTGTGACTTCAGTGTATAAAACTAGCTTTAAAGAGGGTTGATGAAGAAACTTTTCATACTTTCATCAGTTCTTTTACAGGAGTTAAACTGTTTTAAATGTTTCAAAGACTGTATACTGATTAGATATTGATTATACCTAAATCAAGTTTTATAAATATTACACTGTTTATTTCCAGGAGAGGAAAATCCTCTGAATTTAAAGCTCATACAGCTCCAGTTCGAAGTATAGACTTTTCAGCCGATGGCCAGTTTCTAGCTACAGCTTCTGAAGACAAATCTATCAAAGTATGGAACATGTATCGCCAGCGTTTCTTGTATTCCTTGTACCGACATACCCACTGGGTACGCTGTGCCAAGTAAGTGTGAAGTTTCCTAATGAGATTTCCGCATTTTGTTTTTCCTGCTATGGTGTGTGTTTACCTCCCAACTCCCAGAAAAGGGGATCAAGGACAAATTCATTCATTCTTTCATTCAGCAAGTATTTGTCATGTGCCTGCCATGTGCTGGGAATAACAGTAAGCAAAACAGTCAAAACCCCCTACTGTCATGAGCTTCCATTCTAGAAAGGGGAGCTAGATAATAAACAGGTAGGAAAAGGAGACAGTAGGTCAGATGGTGGTAAGTGCTGTGGAGAAAAAAACAGCTGGATTGGAAGAAGGCTGCACTTTTAAACAGCAACTGCCTCACAAAGACAAGGTGGCCTTTAAGCAAAGATCTAACAGAGGGCAGGGGGCGAGGCTTGCATGTGTTTGGGAAAGGCCTGTCTCAGAGGAAACCAGTACAGAAACCCTGGGGTGGGAGCTGGTGGCTGTTTGAAGACTGGCAAGGAGGCTGGTGTGGAGGAGAGTGTGGGGAAGGAACAGGAGCACCGGGGAGGGAGGCTGCAGCTGGGTCGGGAACAGCTGACGGATGTTCTGAGCGACAGGAGATGCCACTGGAGCATGTGCATCTCTCTAACTAACATTTTAATGCGATGGTTCCGACTGCCGTGCGGAGAAAAGCTGTCAAAGTCAGGGCAGAAGCAGGGGATGTCGTTAGGAGGCTGTGTGCAGTAGCTCAAATCCAGCTTGGACCAGGGTGTTGGCAGTGGAGATTTCGAGAAGTGGTCGGATTCCACCTGCCATTTGCAGATACAACCAACATACTTGCTGTCACATTGGATGTGACAGGGAAGGAGGAACTAAGAGTGACTCCACAATCTGGCAGTCTATTGGGACAAGTACTATTGTGTTACAATGTCAACTAACAGCCATGGAGCCCTTTCTATTTCCAAGAGACACCGCCTAAGTATTTAAAATAATTCCCTATCAGAACTGCCCTGGGAGAGTAGGGCTATTGTGTAGGTTTTTTATTATTATTGTTTTAAATTTTTTTTTTAGGGCTATTGTTTTTTTCCCCTGTTTTGCAGCTGAAGGAAGTGAGTTTCAGAGTTAAAGTTAGAACTTGTCTATTTGAAAGTGATAGAAGCCCAAAGAAATTATTTCTCTCCTCTCCAAGTTGTTAATTGGCTGATATTTGGTGACCTTGGAGTAGAGAACCAGGGGCTGCAGGCCTCGAGAGAGACTGTCTACATGCCGGCTCTACTCTCTCAAATGCCCTGGTGGTGAGGTCACTGCCAGCTCTAAGCCGAAGTCCTCATAGCTTTGCGACTGGACAGGAAAATCTCCTACCTCCAGTTAGAAAAGAACTATGGGCAACTCTCAGCTTGGATCCCGTGCCCATCCCTTCACCAGGGAGTAAGATACTGTGGTTGTCACAGGTTAGCCAGGCACCTGACAGAGACCAGTCATCCCAGTCTGAGGGGTGAGAGGGCATACCAACCATGTGTTCTGGTGGTGGACAGAGAGGACAGCTCTTAAAAGAAGGGGGCTGGCATCGACGTGGTCCCTGGGGGGAAATCTGTGCAGGCTGCAGCCAGCCGACCGTGTGCACACTGTATGAAACAATGTGCCAGGCATCTTCAGCTCTGACGTGGTGGAGTGGTAGTGGGAGCCTCGTTCTGTCTTGCCTTCGGTCCCGTGCTGCTGTCATCATGCTCTTAGTGGGACATTATTGTTCAGGTGCTGATTATAATCTATGGTAGTGAGTCTAAGAAGAAGACAAAAGGTTCTACTTTTAGCCAATAGTTTTTTTCTTCTAGAGTTGTCAGCTACTTTTGACTCTGGCCAAAAGAAATACAGAAAGTATTATTTCTATATATGCCTTATAGCTGTGTGGTCAAGAACATGGACCTGGGACCTAAATATATAGGTTAAAATTCCAGCCCCAGCACTTACCAGCTCTGTGACCTTTGGGAAAATTACCTAACTTCTCAGTGCCTTAGTTTTCTTACCTGTAAAATTAGGCTGATGATAATAGTAACCTGCCACACAAGTTGTCATGGTATTTAAATGAGTACATATACATAAAGCATTTAGAATCATGCCTCCCATGGAGTAATCACCAGACAAATCTTAACCATCATCCTCATCCTCATTGGACATCTCAATCTTGTTTTGTTTTTAAAGCTATTATGTAACTTGAGTTGCTAATTTTTTCCCACCTAAGGAGGTGACATATGTGAAGGTCCCAAGAGGCTGGTCAAATCACTTGTATTTATTTATTAAGAGATGTACACAGAGATCTGTCATCGAGTGGATCAATCCCAGAGAACAGACAGAGGCACAAAAAGCTAGGCCAAGTACTGGGAGTCATTATTTAGCCCCCACTAGGACTGACTCTGGAGACGTTTGGCAAAGACACTGGTTTTTGTTACCTTTATCAGGTGGCTCATCAAAAGCAAAACCATTGAATGATAGCCATTATTTATCCAGTGGGTCCCTATGTGTCTGTTTTCTTCCTGAAATAATTTAAGGTGGTTTATAATAAATGCCATACAACTAGAGGGAAGGAAGAGACATTTCTTTTTTTTTAAATATTTTTTTTTTCCACGTTTTTTTTTATTTATTTTCGGGACAGAGAGAGACAGAGCATGAACGGGGGAGGGGCAGAGAGAGAGAGGGAGACACAGAATCGGAAACAGGCTCCAGGCTCCGAGCCATCAGCCCAGAGCCTGACGTCGGGCTCGAACTCACGGACCGCGAGATTGTGACCTGGCTGAAGTCGGATGCTTAACCGACTGCGCCACCCAGGCGCCCCTGAAGAGACATTTCTATGTAGAACCGTGTCACCTTGGGTAGTGCAAATTTGGCAGGTGTAGCCTGAGTTTCCTGCAACCAAGGGATTGATGGAATGATGGTGGCTGACATGTCTTCATGTTTTTGTTTTTTTTTTTAATTTTTTTTTTTTCAACGTTTATTTATTTTTGGGACAGAGAGAGACAGAGCATGAACGGGGGAGGGGCAGAGAGAGAGGGAGACACAGAATCGGAAACAGGCTCCAGGCTCCGAGCCATCAGCCCAGAGCCTGACGCGGGGCTCGAACTCACGGACCGCGAGATCGTGACCTGGCTGAAGTCGGATGCTTAACCGACTGCGCCACCCAGGCGCCCCCATGTCTTCATGTTTTTAAACAAAAAGGAATCCCGACAAGTTGTTCAGATAAGAGAAAATTTTTCCTGTAGAAGATTCTAGGAGATATTTTATTCCTTGTCCTTGTACCGAAGCATGTATGTATAATATAAATGCTAAAGAAGGGGCGCCTGGGTGGCTCAATGGATTCAGCGTCTGACTTCAGCTCAGGTCATGATCTCCCGGTTTGTGAGTTTGAGCCCCCCCCCCCCCCACCCCCTTCGGACTCACTGCTCTCAGACTGTCAGTGCAGTCTGTTTCGGATCCTCTATGCCCCTCCCCTGCTTGCGCTCTCCAGTTTTTGTTTTTTTTTTTTAAATTTTTTTTTTAACGTTTATTTATTTTTTTGGGACAGAGAGAGACAGAGCATGAACGGGGGAGGGGCAGAGAGAGAGGGAGACACAGAATCAGAAACAGGGTCCAGGCTCTGAGCCATCAGCCCAGAGCCCGACGCGGGGCTCGAACTCACGGACCGCGAGATCATGACCTGGCTGAAGTCGGACGCTTAACCGACTGCGCCACCCAGGCGCCCCTCCAGTTTTTTAAAATAAATGTTTTTAAACATTTAACATAAAAATAAATAAATGTTTTTGAAAATGCCTAAGAAAAGGTATTGCTACTGTAAGACAGAGGAATGTATAAAAGGTTGAAAAGGTCACCAATAATATAAAATTTTGGTCTTCAAAATATTCCTTTTATTTTTTTTTTGGTCAGTCCTTCAAAGTTTTTATTCTTTTTTGTTTGTTTTGGGTTTTTTTTTTGTTCCTGCTTTGTACCACATATCTGTGCTGCGTGTCAAGTAGGTAGAAATGAGAACTGCAGTCTTAGCCTCAAGGAGCTTTTCTGTTTTATGGTTCAATGGAAACAAAACACATACAAAATAAGTATAAAATGATGTCTCCTATGGGAAGATGATGCACAAGGGGTAAGGGCAGTGGGGCATTGAACTGGACTTGTGTGAGGAAACGCCAAGGAGGACATTGCAGGCCCAGCACTGAGGGACGGACAGGAGAAGAAGAGGCTTGCAGCCTTCTCGTCAGATGGGGACTGGTGGCCAGCCACTCACAGAGGGAAGGAGCAGGAGTAAGCTCTGCGGCCTGGGAAAATGTTTTGTGCTCTGGGAATGTTAAATTTTCAGCTGTTGCCTGGCACAGGAAGTAAAGTGGGATGAGGGAGAGGAAAGGTGGGGAAGGCTCAGGGCCATGGGTGTTTTGAAAAGACTTTGGACTTCATCCTCCAAGTAACACGGAGACACTGGAGGGTTTGGGATTGGGAAGAAGCATGATCGTTCCTGAGCTCTTTGTAAAATGCTCTTACAACCCACAGCATGACTGCTTTAGATGGTTGGCGTGAGATAGGTCAGGATTCACATGGCCTGCCACATTGTTACCCTCGGGCGAGTTAGTCCATGGCTCTCAGCCTCAGCGGGAGGTGAGGGTAACGAGGCTTCTCAACTGGACTGTTGTGAGGATGAGAAACATAGTGTTCAGGACTGCGTGACACCACAAGCCTGCCCTACCTCCCGCTGAGTAACATTAGGGAGAGACTTAGGAACTGGGGAAGGGCCCAGCATTTGGTTTTAAACCTCTCATCAATTAGAGAGGAGAAGACAGTGGTGGAACCCTACACTTCTGTCTGCTTAGCATCTGTTCTGTTTTCTGGTGACGGTGCCCAAGCATTCCCTGAGCTTTCCCTGAGCCCTCCCCTACAGTCCCTCTGTATGTGTATAGGTACTGGTGTGGCCTGATCTCCAGTCCCAGAAGAGGGCATTCAGCTCAGGCTTGCCATCCAGAACAGGGCATCTGCCTCCTACAGGAGTTAGTGAGTCTTGTTAGAACAGCAGGCCT